AACTGCGTTTGAGAAGCTGCAGATGAAGTTTGAACAAATCCTCATTCACCATGGTCTCCTGAAGGAAGGCGTCGAGGCTGCAGCAGATGAGGTAGGGAAGAGTGTGCGAGAGGACACCGCAGATTTGGCCCAGAACGTCAGAGCTTCCACAGCGAAGTGAGGTATTACATTAATGTATCTGGAGCTCCAGTTTATCAAAGATATCAGTTTCGTCATAGAGGACTCGCCCACTACGTCCCCGACAAATATTCCCGACTCTTTGCAATCTGCTGCGAACAGCACTGCTTCCGGCACCGCGACGCTTGCCTCTGCTGCCCGCCGCATGTCTGACGCTGTCGGCTCCGTAGCTGGTCAGGCCGGTGCATGGGTTGCTGGGCACATCACAGCGTCCTCCTCTCCGTCAGAGACACTCATATCGCTTTCAAATGCATCTGACATAGCTACGGGTGAGTTCAGCACGGGCGCCGCGGAGGTACGCTCTGCGGTCTCAGATACCGCAGGGCTGCGCATTGAGTATGCGCATGGCGAACAAGCGAGAGAGGTACTGGAGAATATGGGTGAGTGTGTGCAGAACGTCGGCGCGGCGGCTGGCAATGTGGCCGTCGCAACGAGCGGAGTGGGAATAGCAGCCGCAGGGATCAAGGGTGACGCGCAGAGCGACGGAAGGCAGGGAATCTCGACTGCGAAAGATGAAGATGGAAATGTTTAGAACGAGCTTTCAATATGACTCTCCTTGGAATGACTAATTTCCCCCGATATTGCGGACTTCAGCGCCAGCCCTCTGGATGGGCTTGCGCAGTGCTTTGGTTCTGCGCGATATCTCCCGCAAATGACGCTCAAGCGCCCATGCACAATACTTGGTGCTTAGCACTCACAGCGATATCATCGTCCAGCACTGCCCGGAGCGATGCCAAATGTCCAAGTCCACCGCGTTTTCAACTCGGCATCAGACACTAAAAGCAACTAGATTCATGTCGCCAATCAGGCAGAGCCTTGCTCTCCTGTTATATGCGTCGCAGACTCCTCACACTTGTCTCATGGCAGCTGCAGGCTTCGATGCTCACCACAGCGGCCACTGTTCGCATTTGTGGGGGAAAGTCTGGCGAGGCGGTTGGAGTCAGCTTGTCGAGCCATGATGCCATGATGCTATGGAAGGACCGGCGCCGAAACTCATCATCATGGGGATCTTTTGAATGCCATCTCCGTGATTCTCGGCGGCTATCTGCCAGCCTCGTTGCATCTGGCGCATGTCAAAGACGCGCGCAGAATAGTATGTGTTGATAAGGTGGGTCAATTTACGTGCTCGTATCATGGCGCAGGTTCGCAAAACGTGTCTACTCCCTACTCTGTTCCGGTCAAATACTCGTTCTCAGGTCATTCACCGAGGCTCTAGCATTTCAACTACTGCTCCACTCCGAGACTCGCAATGGGCCAAGTAGCGCTAATCCCCGTCAATATCGCCACAGTTTGCATTGAAAGCTTCTTTTATGGCATATTTTTCGTCCTCTCCACAGTGTCTTTGTACTTGCTCATCAAACGTTATTGGGAGCTCGGCGGGCGGATTTGTAGTAGTCAGCCATGGACACCGATCATGACCTTCATTGTTGCCAATGTTGCAATATTCATATCTAATACAATTGTGAGCTATGCAGTTTTTTTTTTCCGTGTAGAGATGACTGACTCGCTTCGCATAGCATTGGATTCTCGTCGTGATACGCATATTCATGGCATTCGTTACCTATCCACAGGGTCCTTTGCTCTTCTATGCGGACATCGCTCAGCCATCGGAAGTGGTTCAGAGCGGTGCGCTCATATTCACATTGCTAGTGAACGATGCAATGATGGTCGGTCTTGACGCTAGCCTAACTGCAAAATAATGGATTAAGCTTGTCTGACATGCTAGATATACCGCATGTGGATCATATGGGGTTACAGCAAGCGTGTCATCATAATCCCTCTGTGCACCCTCTTTGGCCTGCTGGGTACGCTTGAAATATCATAGTAGACGATCTGTCGACTCACACTCTGTCTAGTGTGCGGGATCGCCGTCTTGTATCAAATGACCCGATTTCATATGGGCCAGAATATATTTATCACAGACCTGGGTCGCTGGCTGACTAGCGATTCAGTTTTCACTCTCTGGTGAGTCATTGTGTTTACTCTCAATTCGCAAACCACCACTAATATCAATGCTATAGCACTAACCTGTACTGCACCAGTGAGTCCGCTCCTCGAATTCGATAACAGTATTCTAAGCACGTACAAAACACCCATACAGCCATGATCGCCTGGCGCATCTGGCGCATCAATGCTCAAATCGAAGGACACAAGAATAGTAATCTCATGGTGAGCAGCAACATCTACCAACGTGTCTAATGGCTCAGAGATATACGTCACCTAGTCCGTACTCGCCATCATCGTTGAAAGTTCTGCAATATACACGTACGTTCAACTGCAGCCTACTCTGTCCTGAGCACCTGACTAACGTCCAATAGGATCTGGGCGATCTTCTTCCTGGTTAGCTATGAGGTCGACTCGAACCTGCAATTCCTGAGCAATGAGACGATCTGCATCGTTGCTGGAATTTCATTCATGCTCATCAACGTTCGCGTGGGGATGGGCTGGGAGCAGAAGGCGCCACAGTCCATCTCTACGTTCGCAGCCGCACAGTTCACATCTAGGATTCTTGGCAATCAATCGTTTACTATGCAACCTACGACGGTATACATCTCCCAGGCGGTGGAGTGTGACGACGACCGTAGCAGGACGGCCTCGCAGCGTTCCTCCAAGGCCCTAGCAGTCTGACGGAGACAAGAGGATTATCGTTAGTTCGAATTTATGTTTGTAATCGTATGTCCACATCTGAGCACGAATATATGCGCGCAAGTCGTGGTTGAGGCTTTATATTTGGATGAGACAAGCCCGCCGTTCGACTACATAGAACGGTCAATGAAAATAGTACTGTGCAGTAGTGCGGCACTGGCACCACGGGACGAGGCCGGGCCGTATGACGTCTTGGATGCCGAGCCATTCGGCCAGCGTAAACCTTCGCGCGAACGCCGATTATATAATTTGCACGCACCCACAGTTCCTCTTGCGATATTCTTCTGGCTGTGATGAGCACAGCAAGTGATAATCAGACCGGCAAATCATAGGTCTGATATTCTCTGGATCATTGCTATGGTGACGTAAGACAACTGGGATAAGGTCTATTTGATAGCCTTCCTTGCCTGCTACTAGTGACTCTATATATCAGAGTCAGTGACTGCCCATATCTCATTTCTTGTCTCACATCCAGACCTTTGAAAACATCCTCCACTCTAACAAACACTTATCGCCCTGTCTACCGTGATGTCGCAATTCCCGAACAAGGACCGGGACGTAAATTGTCCCATTTTTAGTCCTCCGACAACGCTCCTCCAAACTGGAGTCTCAGTAACAGCCATCAAGCTGAGCTCCATGAACGGATCGTGGAGCACGACCCTTTCGTTTTACGTTCTTTCAAGTAGCTGATTCATTTGTATCTGACACAGTACTGAACTCAGCGATACGACTCCGGTGACATGTTCAACCTACTTGCGCATAGCAAGGCATACCAAGTGTGGCGGCTATAGTCTGAGATGCACCAAGCATCACAGACGTTCTGTCGGACCAGACATTCGTTTGCGATCCCGACGATCGTTTGTGGCTAAGGTATACAGGTCGAGATCTACATGCGGTATTGAGAATATTATACCTGCTATCATGCTAAAAACAGTGCAAGACGAAAGCGACCAAAGCCGAGATTGAGACAATGGCTTGAAACGATTGAGGTCCGTAGAACACACATAACACATGTTATTGGGACATGCTGGTGGAGCAAGACAAGTTTCGAGTCGATGAGCGGCACCAGCTTACTGTTCATCCGAGGCAAGCGTTGATCCTCCCATATTCACACACAGATATCTGAGTGTTTTGAGAGTCGTCATAATGTGTTCGGCCCCCAATCTGATAGCGCGCCAACTGTGTACTGGAAATCAGCACCCATTGGTATGCTCTGCGCCTGTGTGCGGCCCCGAGGCTTGAGGAAGTAGAAATGAAGCGCAGTGAGGTATCTAACAAAGTCAACCTAGAACGAGACCGATCCGGAAACCTGGTCGTCAATAGCCAGGCGAGCGTCAGGATTGTCCGAGACCGTCTTCGGGCTGGTCAACAAGCCAATGATCACGGAAGTAACCTCTAACCTGATGCTATTATTTCCCGTGCGTGATTGTTACGCGTGGGGTATAAAAATTTGGGCTACCTGATTGGTGAGGAACGGCCGGTGATACCTAGAGGTGAGCTGCGAGCGGTGTCCCGTATCTGGTATCTGTATAGTAGCTAGAGCCTCAATTGAATTCCTCGCCAAGTAAAGATGTCGAATGGAGAGGTAACGTGTATCTGAGCCTGCTCATTGTCAGAGAGTACGAATGATGGGATGGCCAGTTGGCGTCAAGTTTGCGTTCGCAGAGTTGATGGTGCCGTTGTTGTATCATCATGTGGGTACTCTTAGAGATTTGACACCTGAAATGATGTTCTTCGTCTCACGCCTTTACGATAAGACGTGTAAGCGACGTATGGTCGACTATTATGGCAAACGAAAGGACCCCTACTAGGGTGGCTCCACTGGCTTCTGCGCTGTAGAGTATGAAACGTGCATTGCACTCCCGAAGCGTGTGCCGGGCTAGCGGACGATCATCATCAGCGACATACTCACTGCATGCGCGGACATTCCGCATCATTTTGGATCCGTGCTATTTGCGTGTTATGAACCAATATGCGAATAGACTAAGTACTCGGCTTATCGCACGATGAATTCTAGCGTCTTGTATCCTCTTCTTCACTACGACCATGGCAGACGATAAGGGCGCAAAGGATGCCTCGGGGACCAGCACCGTCATGGAGAGCAACCAAGATGAGGCCGGCTTGGCCAGGATGGGCTACAAGCAGGAGTTAAAGTGAGCTGCCCTCCCCTTTGATCGTTCAAACATGACATAGCGTGGCTTTGTAGGAGAGACTTAGGCTTGATGCAGGTGAGTCTGAAGAGTTTCGTTCGAGAGGAATGAGCTGAGCCTCGTAGAACTTTGGTGTTTCGTTCTCGATCATTAGCGTGATCACCGGCATTAGTTCACTCTTCCTGTATGGTTTGGTGGGGACTTGTCTTATATTCTAATTTGTTTCCTTCTCAAATTGTACGTACAGACAACAGGAGGACCCGCAGTGATGGTGTGGGGCTGGATAGTCGTGGGTGAGTGCATCACACGACCTATGAGAGGAATAGCTTACCCAGACACAGTTGCATCTCCTAGCATGCTCCACCATGTTAGTCGGTTTGTCGATGGCTGGTACGTTTGTTTAATTTAGTATCTCATTGCGGCCATAATCTTTTCGACAGAAATATGTAGTGCGCACCCCACCAGCGGTGGGCCGTACTTCTGGGCCGCCATGCTATGCAAGCCAGAACATGCAGCATTCTCGTCCTGGATCACCGGATGGTTCAATCTGCTTGGCCAAGTCGCTGTCACAACCGGCATCAGGTGAGGCATCATCGTCAAGGCGCAGCACCCATCCAACATAGACTGACATGTACAACAGCTTCGCGTGTGCAACATTCATCTCGACACTCGCCACGTTTAACACTTCCTTCGTGCCGTCAGCGCCGCGGACGATTGGAATATACGCAGCGGTGCTCTCTGCACAGGGTCTGATCAACACGTTCGGCGTGCATCTTCTGCGGTACCTGAACAACGTCTCCGTGTGGTGGAACGCGCTAGGCACGACTGCGCTTGGGATCGCTGTCCTTGCTGCGGCGCCGACACACCAGTCTGCTCACTTTGTCTTTCAGACGTTCATTGATGGTACCGGCGTGGACGGCGTTGGATGGGCCCAGCGCGCGAGCCCAGCATATGTCGTGATCATTGGGATCCTCATGGCACAATATACCTTGTTGGGTATGTCCTATCTGTGGGCTTTCCAAGGACATCAAACTCACTGCTGCTACAGGGTACGATGCAAGTGCGCATGTGCGTGAATCGTCCAATCTTGGTGCAGGGCACGGTTAATGAATGTGTATTCTTATTGTAGATGACTGAAGAGACCCATAATGCTGCAATGTCGGGGCCTCTCGGTATCGTCATGGCCATCGGAGTGTCCGCTGTTCTTGGATGGTTTCTCATCCTCGCTCTGCTCTTCTCGATTCAAGACCTTGAAACCACGCTCGCCCCACCCTCTGGTGAACCCATCGCACAGATTTTCTTGGACACTGTAGGCGAGAAGGGTGCGATTGTCCTCATGGTAAGCGCATATATGCGGCTTGATGTGGTGGATCGGGACTGAAGACGTGAGTACGCGCCTAATGCAGGTCATCGTCATCGGTGCCATATTCTGGTGCGGGGTGTTCTCAGTCACGTCGAACAGTCGGATGATGTACGCGTTCGCGCGGGACGGCGGCATCCCTGGACACAAGTTCTTCCACAAGGTTGACCAGAAGCGCAGGTCACCCGTTCGCACAGGTACGAGGAACGACGCCGCATGTCCACATGTTTGAGCTTATTGATGGAAATTCACCTTTCAGTATGGTTGGCCTGCACACTGAGCTTCATCCTCGGTCTGCCGAGTCTAGGAAGCGCGGTCGCTTTCTCCGCCGCAACGAGTATCGCAACCATTGGGCTGTACATATCCTACGGTTAGTCCGCGAGTCCCCTTGCTATTGCCGGTTTAAAATATGACTCACATCTCTAACATCTAGGTATCCCCATCGCACTGCGGGTCATCTATGCGCCGCGCTTCGTGCGTGGACCGTTCCACCTCGGCGCGTTCTCATATCCCATCGCAACGGGCGCTGTGCTCTGGATAATCTTCATCACCATCGCGTTCGTCTTGCCGGAGGAGAACCCGGTGAACTCGCAGACACTGAACTATGCCATCGTCGCAGTCGGCATCGTCGTCACATACAGCCTCGGCTTCTGGCTCGTCAGCGCGCGGCGGTGGTTCACGGGACCGGTGAAGCAGATCGAGGGTGAGTCTCTGGAGCGTGATCCGAATGAGTACGTGATTGCTAAATTGACTCAATGTGTCTAGCGGAGGCGCAAGGCGTGGACGTCATGAACGGGGGGGACATAGAAAACGGGAAACGACTGAGCGAGGGAGAGGGCTCCGTGTAAACAAGACGTTTCTCGGCTGTATCAGATATAATTTTGCAAGTTCTTGGCCCTATGCTCTGTCGGACGGCTAGAGGATGGGAAAAATGTGGGCAAATGCCCGCCTGGGAATCCATCATTGCATCCTATGTGGCCTTCTCCCAAATTGGTGGTATTCCTTATATTCCTGGGCCATGAGATGGTCCCCAGATTACATCAGGCTAACGAATGGCCACATTCCGTCCTGCATAAAAAGCGCGATGATTTTACGTTCGTCATTCGCTTTCCCTGCGCTCACCTAAAGTAACTTATTACTATCTATTGGCATCCTCAAACCGATACCGCATATGCTTTCCCCTTATGCTCTATGCTCGCTATGTTTCCTATCTTCTCTCTTCCTTTCTCTATCCTTATTCTCTATTTATTCTTTTTCTTCAATTCTCATTTGTGCTAGCACTCACCGAATCTCTTTAGATTGAAGCCTAGTATAGCGTGCACACCATCAGTCAAATGGTTTCGAGTGAGTCTCGACGTTTCTTGCTTCCCGACTTTGTCGATTAGAAATGTTCTGACTGGGTTCCAGCTTAAGCCAAATATCCAAGTCAGAGGGATTAAAGGTAAGCCCCGAGGGAAGGAGAGGAAGAGATTGTCCATCTCTCCTGGCGCAGACCTTTTCGTGGTCCTCGGGATAAGTACCTTCCTGCAAGAGCTTGCGCAATTCTGCTGCAAGGCGGGACGGGGAAACCAACATGCGCTGAATTTTGTTGAATGGTGTACTCTATCACTTCAGTGTTGTTAGTAGTTCCAGTATTAGCTCGGGCTGAATACATGACATTTTCACTATTTTGATTGTTTTTTAGGAAGTTATGGAGAAGTCAGAGAAGGCCAAGGTGTAAGCAGCCAATCAGAAAAATTGAAACAGCGCCTAAGCCGCCTGTGATTGGTTGAAACCCCCAAATACTTGGTCTCGTACCCAGACGTGTCTTCGACACGTCTGGGGTAGCCTAGCAGA